CTGGGAGGCTCAGCAGTTTTTCCGATGGAAAAACAATTTTTTTGTATCGGCTTTCACTAGGTTTCTTTTCATTGTTTTATAGTGGCTGCTCTAGGAAGAATAATATGCCACTTTCAGCTCAGGGTGTGATCTTGGAGACCTGGGATCGAGTCCCACGTCAGGCTCCCTGGATGGAGACTGCTTCTCCCTCTGCCTGTGTTTCTGCCTCTCTCTGTGTCTCTCATGAATAAATAAATAAAATCTTTTTTAAAAATAAAAAGAATGAGTGAATTTTGTCAGATGCTTTTTCCACAACCACTGAGATGATTATGATTTTTCCCTTTCATTATGATACAGGAAATTACACTAATAGTCTTAAATTTTAAAATTACTTTCCCCAGAAAAAAAATCTCCACTTATAGCTTTAATATACTGCTGGATTATATTTCCTAATATTATAATTAGGATTTTATATCAATATTTATAAGGGATATTGGTCTGTAATTTTCTTCACTTGTAATGTCTCTGTCAGGATTTGGTATCAAAAAAACTAGTTGGAAATTTTTCTTTCTCTTCTATCTTTAGGAAAAGTTTGTAGAACACTGGTATTATTTCTTTAATTTTTTTAATTTGAGTATACAGTGTTACATTAGTTTAAGGCATACAATATAGTGATTCAATGTCTCTATACATTATGCTATGTTCACCACAAGTGTAGCTACCATCTGTCATCATAGAATACCATTAGAAAAACACTGACTATATTCCTAATCTGAACCTTTTATCCCATGACTTATTCATTCCATAACTAGGAGGCTATATCATTCATTTTACCCATCTCCCCAAGATTGGTATTATTTTTTCCTGAAGTGTGTATTAGAATTCACCAGTAAGATCTGGGTATTTCTCTAGGAAATTTTTTATGACAAATTCAATATCCCTGGTATATGGCTCTTTAAGTTTTTCTATTTCATCTTATGTCAGTCTTACCAAGTTGGATTTTCCAAATTTTCCCATTTCATCTAAGTTTCAAATTTATTGCCATAAAGTTGTTCATCACATTCCCATATTTTACTATTTATCGTATCTACATTAATAATGTCCTATTTCATTCCTACCCTACAGTGAGTTTTATCCTCTTTTTGTAATCAATCTTGCTAGGGGATTATCCATTGTATTAATATTCTCAAAGAATCAACTTTTGATTTCATTGATTTTTTTCCTTTTTTTCTCTTTTTTTCTCTATTCTTTACTATTTCCTTTTATCTATTTTCTGTGGGTTTAATTTGTTCACCTTTTTTCAGTGTCTCAATAAAAATCTGAGTTATTTCTTCTGTTCTAAAATAAACATTTTTTATACATTTCCCTCCAAAATCTGCTATAGTTTCATGCCACAAATTTTGACATGCTACATTTCTATCATTATTCAGATTATTCATTAAAATAATTTCTGAAAAAATAAAATAAAATAATTTCTGATTATTTTCCTTGTGATTTCTTCTTTGGCCCATGAATTTATTTACCAGTGTGGTATCTAAATATTCAGCCTTTTTTAGGTATGTTAAGGTCACCTATTTCTAGGATAATTCTGATGTAGTTAAAGAAGAGACTCTGTAAAATCTCAATCATTTTAAACATAGGGAGACTTGTCTTATGGTTCAGCATACGGTCTTTCCAGTAAACATTCTATGTGTCCTTCACCATTATAGCTATGGTGCTCTATAAATGTAAATTAAGTCAAGGTAATAAATAGTGTTGTTCAGAATTTCTACATTCTTACCAATTTTTCACTACTATCAACTGCTAAAAGAGGGATATTACAATTCCCAACTATGATTAGATTGTCTAGTTCTCATTTTAGTTTAAGTTTTTGTTTCATGTTTTTTGAAGCCCTTTCACTAAATACAAACATATGCATGATCGTTACATCTTCCAGATGAACTAAGGCCTTTATCACTGTGAAATGCCCCTTTGGATCTCTGATATTTCAATCTATTTTGTGTGTTCTTAAAATAATCACTCCAATTTTCCTATTCTTACTGTTTGCATGGGATACGATTTATCTTTTTAAAATCTTTATTTTCAACTTCCTTGTAACTTTATATTAAATAAAGTATGTCTCTTATGGCCAGTTTATAGTTTAGTCTCCATTTTTTATTCAGACTAACAATCTCTGCCTTTTTATTAAAGTAGTCCACTGATATTTAGGGTAATTATTGATATGTTTCATTCAGATGTATCATTTTGCTCTTTGCCTTCTATTCATATCACCTTTTTTTTCTGCCCCTTTTTTGGGTTTATCAAAACTTTTTAGTGCTCTAATTTTTGGCTTTCAGCTCGAAGGAGATGAAGGTGCAATGTCTTTGGTCATCCCAAATCTGGATTCATCTGAAAGAAATGCCTCCACCATGCTGCCTAAGGTCAGCCCCAATGAAATCAAAGTCGTACACCTGAAATGCCACTGGGGAAGTTGGTGTCACATCTGCCCTAGGCCTGAAGATCAGCCTCCTGTATGTCTCCAAAAAAGGTTGGTGATGACACTGCCAAAGCAACCAGTGATTGGAAGGGTCTGAGGATTACAGTGAAACTGACCATTCAGATCAGAAAGCCCAGATTGAAGTATCTTCTGCCTCTGCCCTGATTATCAAAGCCCTCAAGGAACTGCCAAGAGACAGCAGAAAAACATTAAGCACAGTAGAAATACTACTTTTGATGAGATTGTCATCTCATCAACAAAGCCAAACAGATGTAGCACCAATCTTCAGCCAGAGAACTCTCTGGAACTATTAAAGAGATCCTGGGGATTACCCAATCTGTAGGCTGAAATGTTGATGACCAGCCTCATGATATCACAGATGACAACAACAGTGTGTAGTGAATGCCCAACTAAGTTAAGAACTCCAAAGGAAAATATTTCAATAAAGGATCATTTGACAACCGATGGAAAAACAATTTTTTGGTATTGGCTTTCTAGGTTTCTTCTCATTATTTTATAGTGGCTGCTCTAGGGAGAATGATATGTATCAATAACTTATCATAGTGTACTTAAGACTTAATAGTGTACTACTTCATGCATAATGAAAAAATTTTACAACAAAATAGTCGTATTTACCCTCCTCCTGCCCTTTGTGTCATGGTTATCACATATCTAATGCACTCTATATAGCATTTCTTAAAGAAGCCATATATATACCTTAAAAATTAAGAAAAAAAATATAGCCTTTTATATTTATCTACATATTGTTTCTAATTTTTTTCATTCCTCCCATTGATTCAAATTTTCATCTGATGTCATTCTCCTTCAGATGAAAAAAAAATCCTTTCGCATGTCTTTGGCATTTAGTACAGCTTTCAAGGTCCTTATTTTTGCGGCATACAGAATTGTGGCTTGATAGTTTATTTCTGGCACCATTTTACAGATGTCTTTCCTTTGTTATCTGGCCTTCACTGTCCTGATTGAAGGTCAGCCCTCATTTGTGTCAGTGCTTCCCCTTTCTCTGAGGGAGAAACTTGATTTTGTTTTGTTTTGTTTGTTTTTATTTTTTTTTATTGGAGTTCAATTTGCCAACATATAGCATAACACCCAGTGCTCATCCCATCAAGTGCCCCCCTCAGTGCCCATCACCCAGTCACCCCCACCCCCCGCCCACCTTGAGGGAAAAACTTTAAAAGTTTCTCTTTATTTTTGGATTTACCACTGTGCATAGCTGGTATCATTGATACCTGCGCCTAGGTATCATTTTATCATTTATCATTTTCTTTCTGTTAATCTTGCTTTAGATTTGCTAAAAGCCACAGATCTGCAAATTTATGCTTTTATTAAATGTGGTAATTTTTTCAGAAATTTTTCAAATAACTTTCTTTTGCCCTATTCTCCCTCTCTTTCCTCTCCTTAGGGTCTCCAATTACACATTTATACCTACTTGATATTGTTCCACAGGTGACTAAGGAAACTTTCTTCTTCTTTTTAATTTTTTTTCTTATGTTTCTCTGACCATGTCTACTAACCCAGCTTCAAGTTCACTGACACTCTTTTCATCTACCTTCAATCTACTACTTGGACCTTTGAAGTTTGTAAGATATTTTATTTTTCAGTCTAGAATTTCTATTTGATTCTTTTTTAAAGTTTCCATTTCTTTGCTGAGATTCTCCGTTTGCTATTTCATGATAATCACACTCTCCATCTTTGAATATACTTATAAAAACTAAATAAATGACTTTACCTCCTAATTCCAACATCTGGGTCATCTTAGAGTGATTTGCTATTGACTTATTTTTACACTAGCAATGGTTACCATCTGTGTCATCTTCATTTTAGGGCTACTACAACAAATAATGCTGTTATGAATATTTTATATATTTCTCTTTATTCTACCTATAGAAGGCTGAATTTATAGGATATCTGTTATCAGTTACTTTTCTATATACCAGCAATAAGAGAATTCTTTTCATTTTTATCACAATGCTTATATATTTTAATTTCAAATAGTATTAAAATAAGATATAAGATCTTTGCTTTCCTAGAAAAGGAACATCATTCAAACACTGAGAACCATTGTTTTCCATTCAAGACTCAAAAACTATTTGAATACTGTCAGTTGTTGTTCAGAGACTTGGGAATATGAAAATAAACAAATTAAGGCTTTGACATCATGAGCTGACATTTCCTAACTTTGTTTCTACAAAATCAATGGTTCTCAAACTTCTTGTGCAACAGGATAATCATATATAGACCTTCTATAAAACAGAGATTCCAAGGCTCCACCTCAAACCTACTCATTCTCAAATCTGAAGATACGGGTAAGGAATGCACACATATACCACACATGCTCATATATTTAAGCTGCTTAGATTGTTCTAATACAGCTCAGTCACAAACAAGCACTCTATTACAACTAAAAGGATTCCTACAACCTCAAAAGATAATTTTTCAAAATAACTGCTAAAATAAAGAGTATAAAATTCCTAAGTTCTCATCTCCTTACTAGTATCTTAAAAACAAAAATAAAGATTCCAAATACCTTTATCTCATAAACATTCAGTTGCTTGCTTTCTGCTGTACCCTTTTTTTTCAAGGCCTTATTCTGTAAAAAAAAAATAAAAATAAAGAATTATGCTTACTAACAACGTGATTCAATTCTGCACTGCCACTGACTTAGACTGAAATTACTAAAGAAAAGGAAAGAATTATTCTCTAAAAGTATAGTGAAAAAGTTTTTCTTTAACAGTTTAATTTTGAGAATCAGTACATACCTCCTGCTGGAGTTCTTCAATACACTTGCTTTTATTTTCAACTTGTTTCTTTAAATTGTTACACTAAAAAATTATGAGAAACTAATAATTATCTTATTCAATATTCCAGTCAACATAGGTAATTTCAAACTAATAAAAATATGGCATAAAATAACATAAAGGTCACTTCAAAAATCATTTAGTTTAGTAATCCCATTAATGTCAAAAATTATGTGATTAAGTATAAATTTTAATAAAGATTTTCTCAATGTAAATTTGAAATTCTTAACATTTCTCAACCTATTTAAAGAATACATGAATTCAATTACTTTAAGGAAAATGTACTTCTTGGTCAATTAATTCTATATAAATGGCTGAATTATATCATTAATTGGATTTTGAAAAGCTACAGCCAGAAGTTAAGATTACCTATAACTTGCCTTCTTCCTTACTCATTATTCTCCATTTCTCATTTCCGAGTCTCTTATACTTTTGTATTTGGGGAAGGGGAATAATATAATAATCTACCTCCTTCTAAATACATTCTACAATAGAAATACCACCTAAACCAATTTTTATATCTCACTTTGAGAGACTATTTCACCTGAGTACACACACAATTGGATTAAGAGGCATTAGGCTAAGAAATATTTAGAGTACCATAAAAGCAGCACAGATTTCTAAACAGTCATAAAATGTTACAGATATGTAAGTTGTCCTAATTTCCATCTAGAAAGACACTCCAATGGAAAAAAATTAATCTCTCAGCACAAAATACCCTGTTAAATATTTTTATTGCAAAACCCATGTACAGTCACAGTCTGCTATTATTCTAAAACTGAGTAATACATGACACAGCTATTTAATACCTCATTTTTAATATGCCCCACCTCTATATGGTCTACTTCAGAAAACGCAAAAAGAAAACTAAGGAAGAAAAGCTATAGAAAAATGAGAAACATTTTAGTGACTTTCATGCCAATTTTACTGGTATAAACATATTAGCAGGTACAACTATTATACAATGTTTACTTATTTTAAAAATCAACGATTTCCAATTTTGGCAGAAAAGCCACCTATATACTCTGAACAACCTTCCTAATAAAGATAATTTAAAAGGAAATGGCTACAAAATAAGGAATCTGCTTACTTGAAATATAACTTTAAAGTGGCAATAATAGGTTTGGGGGTAGCACCAAAACCAGCTAAGGATATCTGCTAAAACTACCTAGGAAAAGGGAGATAGGAGATAAAACTTAGAGCTCACTAAAGGAAAGGAATTGAATAAGACAACCCTGCATAAAGCCACAAACTCAAAAACTACCTACTCCATGAAAATGTAAAAATAAATAAATAAATCTGTCACACAGAGGGGCACAAGAAAACTTGTCTGCCTTGATGTTAGCACTAAGTGAAAGGTATCAAAATGGTCTCTGAGAATTTGTAGCCATGAGGTGGCCTTATAGGAGTTTATAGCCTGAATTCATACTATTGCTAGGATTTGGAAAAGCCTAAAATGGAGAATTTAATTTAAAACGGTTCCTGGTGAAAGGTGCTCCTAAAGAAATCCTTTTGGGAAGATATAAACTTTAACACAAGCCTCAAAGAATTCCCATAGATAAAATTCCAAAGAATCATAAAGAACACAAAGAATTCATAAGAATCAATGAGTAAACATCAGCAGAAAGAATGAAAATCAGACTTACTCCTGAAAAGACTTCAGATATTGATATTCCTATAAAGCCAACTTTATAACTCACATTACTGCAGTCCAAAAATAAGTGCATGTCTTACTAAAATAATGACATCAAAACTATCAACTTTGAATGTCATTTGACTGCTCCATCTTACTCTTTTTTTTCTGAATAAACTAATGAAAATTAAAATAACTTGTCACTCCTTTTAAATTTAAATAATCTCCAAATTTAGGGCTAATGAAGATAAATATATTTGGTAGAATGTCCAAAATTCTTGAAAAGGATTTAAACTACCATAGTTTTTTTTTCCCCAATCACAGTCCATTTCTTTTTTTTTTTTTTAAGATTTTATTTATTCATGAAAGACACAGAGAGAGAGGCAGAGACATAGGCAGAAGGAGAAGCAGGCTCCCGATAGGGAGCCCCATGTGGGACTCGCCAAAAGCAGACGCTCAACCATTGAGCCACCCAGCCGTCCCACAATCACAGTTCATTTCTAAGTAAAATAGCAATAAAGAATTTCATTTACCAGAATTCTAGGCAGAAAAAAAAAATGGTGTTGATTATCAGAGGTCAGAACTTCAGAGAGAACCATACTTTTCCAGAGCATTACTTATGTAGAAGGTCAAGTTTAGGACAAATGTATAGAGATGAGAGAAGTGAATTGGGATGGGCAGCCAGGCAGTAAAAACACTTCACAACTTCACATAAAGAGAGTAGAAAATTTTCTGTAGCTCGTTTGATTATAAGAATGAGAGAAATGTCTAACAACAATGTTTAAAAGCATCTTGCCATTCTAAACATATCTGCAACAAATGCAGCTGCTGAGAGTGTAAAATTTGGGGAAAGGGAAAAAGATAACTAAAGAGGAGTTTAATGAAACTTTGCTCTTTGAAATTTTGAAGTACAAAACTCCTGAAACCAGAGCTTCTTCAAAGAAATCTGTGGTAAAATCCAAAATTATTCCTTTAACGCCTTCAAAAGAGAACTGAAATCTCCCTGTACAGGACAGTGTAAAGACTGGTCAGAATCTAGTCATACACATATTATTACAAAGACTCTTCTTAAAAACATTTCTTGCAATTTGATAATACCTTGTTTTCTAAGATCTTCATTTGTTTCTCTTTCTTTAAAACTTCACATTCAATGCTGCGAGCCTAAGAAACATTATTTGCCATCAGATGTAAAACGTTAACAGAATTTCTATTTTCTTCTATGAATATCTTTCAAAAGTGGAATTACATAACTTAGTCTTATATTTCTACATAAAATATCCATACTCCCAGTTTAATGCAATATCCTTTTTTAAAAAGAAATTATCTTTCATTTTTTGTGTTAATGTTCATCATTCTTATTTTAATCTTAGCCCAATATTACTTTGTAATATTTAATCAACTTTTCCAGTTTACCCTGAATTTTTTAAAGTTGTCTTGTACAGAAATGTTTATAATCTTTTAAATGTATCTTTCACAAACATCTGTTAACCTGAACCTCAGAACAACCCAATGATAAAGGGCAGGTATTATTATATCCATTTTAGAGATGAGAAAATAGTCTCAGAGAGAGCATGTATAAAATAATATAAATGTCTGAACTAAGGTAGCGAACTGGGGAGAAAGGTGTAATGAATTTCAATATCAGGCAAACTTCTGAGAACTACTTCCAAATTGGATTCTTTTGGGGAAACTGTTTCAATAAGTAAATTGAAATCCGACCACGGAACAAGCTTAAAAGTGCTAACAAAGTGTAAGTGTTTCATTTTCAGCTTTTTTCCTTAACTTATCACTAATATCTTGTACTTGGTGAAATACATTTAAATTCCTGGTAAAGGATTTTTATTTTACATTGAACAACAAATTCATATTTTTCTCCATCACAAAAGAACTAGTGTCCTGAAGCAGCCTGTGATGCAAATTTTAAAGTAGTATATTACATAGCAAACCTCTGGGAGATTAAATTCCATTGTCTAGTTGAACTTAATAAATATAAAGAAAAAATACCTTTTGGAGAGAAAAAAAGTGTGGTATAGTCTAAACAATGTTAAAAGGCCAGCACTACTACTTCTTAGTCATGTAGCCTTCCTTTCAAGGCTTTTTCACCCTTCAGAGGCCTAATATCTTAATTTATAAAACAAGGAAAAAATAACTTGCAGTTAACTAAGAATGTATATAAAGAACTAGAATGTTCCTGGTACACTGTCAGCTGTTAAAAATATTAGTTCATCTCATCCTTAGTCGATATAGTCTTACAACTTTCTAAAAATAAATATGACACTTCTCAGGTCAAAATTGTTCAATAACCTCAAATTCCTAAATATAGTTTATGAAGCCTTAAATAATCTGTCCTCATCTCTCTCAATCTTCATTTCCCCTATCCTTCATCTCTCCATGCTCATCTCTCTACTCTCATCTTTTCCTACTCCCTCCACTATTACTATTATCTTAAACTCCACCTTTTAGCCAAGATGAACTTTTCATAGTTGTTTAAATATGACACTCTCTCATACTCTGTATAGAGTATATGTGTGTGTGCTTATAATTTATAATACTCTCTTCCCTGATATATTTGTGTCCACCCCTCTGCCTTCCACTAATTCCTATTAATCTTAGGTTTCAAACTAAATGTCACTTCTTCCAGTAAGCTTGTCCTGAATCAACTTTTGATTAGATGTTCCCTGTATAGGTTCCAATATCATTTATATAGAGAACCTGTTTTGGTTTGGCCACCATCCTTTCCTGAGAAAACACTATTAGTATAAAATCCATAGTAATCTGGCTTATTAATCCATGTGGTTTGATGGAAGCTGATCTGTCTCTAGGAGTAGGTGGGTACACAGCTTAGGCTTCACCAAATTACTTTACCCCTTAACCACAATGACTGACTCAAGAATAAGTAAGTAAACTAAACTAGGCCAAAGTCCTTTTCAAGATTTTTTTTCAGAGCATTCAAGATGTTTTTTTAAAGCCTTCCAACTGATTCCAGTGCCCTTCACATCTCCCCATTCCATTCTTAAAAATTAAAAATGTCATTTCCCTAATTTAAAAAAAACCCTTAATTAGATTACCTATTATCCACCAGAACAAATGAAATCCAAACTGGGCACCTGGAACAATGCCTCACACATGTACGTAGCTAATAATATGTGTTGAATGAATGAAAAAACACAGTCAAGGCCTTTACAATCTAGTTTGATCTTTCTATTTAGGCAAATTTTTCCCCCACTACGTATATTGAATACTATTATCATGTCACATATTTTGTACTATTCCACTTCTGTGACATTCTTTGCTTAAAAATCTTCCTATCTCAACTTGTTGGGATCATATCCACCAAATCATATCCACCAAAGCACAACACAAACATCAATTTATCAGTATGTTCCTTACTACTAAAACATGAGCCCCTTTAGCCTAAAAATGTAAATCAACATTAAATATTGAACATTTATGGGGTTTTGCTTTGTGTTTTTTTAAGTAGGCTCCACATCAGCATGGAACCCGACTTGTACTCATGAGCCCGAGATCAAGACCTGAGCTGAGATCACAGTCAGATGCTTAAGTGACTGAGCCACCTAGGTGCCCCTAAATATTGAGCATTTATGAAAGAAATTTAGAATTACACCACTATTTCTTCTAGATATAAACCATGTAAGCAAAATAACCCAACTTTGCCTATAGTTTAAAGGTCAATAGCCTACAAGAGTCCCTATATCACTATTTATACTATAGCATGCTTCACTTTTTTTTAAACATGTGCTGTTTATTTTAGGACTTGAAATTCTGTTATACAATTTATTATTAAATATAACATACATTTTCTTCACTTTTGTCCAATTTACATTTAACTTCATCTCCTTTCCGTTTTAGTTCTTCTCTCACAGATACCAATTCATTCCTTAAAGGAAATGGAAGAGTGTAGTGAAGAAATTTTTATATTTTTGTTTCATTCCTTTTCTGGGATTTCTTAAAATCATTGACTATTATATTTTCTGTTGGTTTAGATTTTCTTTTTCTTTTTTTTTTGGTAATTTTTCATGCATTAATGTCAACAGGTACACTTCCTCTCCTACACTTAAATTACTTTATACATTTAATTTGGAACTAATCATCTAGATCCTTTATCCATTAAAAAAAAGAAATACTTTTTTTAAGTCAAGATTTCACTTTACTCGTGAGTCATAAACCAGTCATCATTCTAACATGTCACAATTTTATACAAATAAATTAGGGACATAAATAACAAGTGATTTTAATGAGATATTTACATAGACAAATATCCTTACATATAGAGAGAGTATCTCTGGAAACACACAAGAAACAGTGATACTTCTGGGGAAGGAAACTAGGTAGCAGGGAGACAATAGGAAGATAGTTTTCTTTCCCTATGTGCCGCTTTGTCACTTTGGAACTTGTGCCATATGTTTGTATAATCCTTTCAAAATTGTTTAGATTAAAAATCTGCCTGTTACACATTAAAGCAAAGGTACCTTTGTGTCAGATCCTTGAAGCTATTTCTAATTACAGTCTCTGGTTAGCACTACTATGTTGCTGGGTCTAGCCTGTATGCACAGAATCATTCACTCATATGGCTGGCCTTGTAAAAACTGAGTCCAGGATATTTACTCTTTAACTGAGTATTAATTTTTTTTAATGATAGTCACACACACACAGAGAGAGAGAGAGAGAGAGAGAGAGAGAGAGAGAGGCAGAGACACAGGCAGAGGGAGAAGCAGGCTCCATGCACCGGGAACCCAACGTGGGATTCGATCCCGGGTCTCCAGGATCGTGCCCTGGGCCAAAGGCAGGTGCTAAACCGCTGCACCACCCAGGGATCCCGAGTATTAAATTTTTAATTGGCATATTCTTTTTCTTTAATTGGCATATTCTTATTATTATGTATTTATATTTAGGTTCTTTAAGTCTATAGGTACATGTACGAAAAGCTATTAACCAAATAATTTGAATCCTCTTAAATAAACAGCAGCTTTCCCTAAAATAGGTCTTCACTTTTTATCCTCAAAATATACAGTGCCTTAATCACAGAGATTGAATCTAAAAATAACGGCTACTTCTGAAGGAGAAATTTGAGCAAAAACAACAAAAGCAATCATTAGAAGTATGATAAAAAATGACTTTCTAAACCTAGAAAATAACGAGTTATGTGGCCAGGAACTGTACGCAGCACTTTGTCCACATAACCACATATAACAAAATGTTATATATTAACCAAATATAAAAAAAAACTTAATATGTCAGAATATAAGTACAAACAAGAGCCCCCAAATATTTGGAAATCATCCAAATTACTAATGGATTAAAAGGAAATAAAATACAAAAACAGGTTACTTAGAAAATAAACATTAAAACACTATATACCAGGACACTTGGGTAGCTCAGCGGTTGAGCATCTGCCTTTGGCTCAGGGTGTGATCCTGGAATGGATTTCCACATTGGGTTCCCTGCGGGGAGCCTGCTTCTCCCTCTGCCTATGTCTCTGCCTCTCTCTCTCACTCTCTGTGTCTCTCATGAACAAGTAAATAAAATCTTTATAAAATAAAAAAATAAAACACTATATATCAAAACCCAAGTTCATAGATCCATAGTTGTGTTAAGAAGTAAACTACATCTTGAAATGTCTTTTTTATTTGAAAAAGAGAAAAAAAACCTAAGTATCAATATATCAAATTGAAAAAGAACTAAAAAAATTAATATTTGATTTCAAGCAGGCAAAAAATTTCTAAGTAGACAAGCAATGGGAAAATTTACACTCCCCCCAAAAAAAGACAATTAGACTTAATACAAAAATCAAAAAACTTGTGTAAGACAAAAATTGCCCAAAATAAAAGGAAAACAAGTTGGGGGAAATATGTACTATAAATTAAATAAGATAAAGGATTACTATATTTTTTAAAGCTTAAATAAATCAGTAAGAAAACAATTGAGACCTCAAAATATTAATGGGGAACAGATATAAGCGATTTCAGAAATAAGAAATTCTAGCAAGCAAACAAAAAATCATAAAGTTTTTGGATAAAGTTTACCCAAAAAATTAATATTATAAATCATAAGAGTATTGAGTTGTTTTTAGCTGTTATATTATCAAATCAGTTAATGATAATATCCAAAACAAATTAAAAGACTTTGGAACTAGCATTTTCATACAAAAATCATTGAACTGTATTCTTTACAACCAGTCAAACCTATCAGAAAACATTTGACTATCAAAAGTCATTGAAACAGGGGATCCCTGGGTGGCGCAGTGGTTTGGCGCCTGCCTTTGGCCCAGGGCGCGATCCTGGAGACCCGGGATCGAATCCCACTTCGGGCTCCCAGTGCATGGAGCCTGCTTATCCCTCTGCCTGTGTCTCTGCCTCTCTCTCTCTCTCTCTGTGTGACTATCATAAATAAAAAAAAAAATAAAATAAAAAAATTAAAATTAAAATTAAAAAAAAAAGTCATTGAAACAATTATTGCAGTGACTCAGAAAATTTTACTCCTTGAAATGTACCCTATCAAATTCAAAATAAGGAAACAAATCTGTAGGCACCAAGATGTTGACTACAGTACTATTTATGATAATGGAAAACTAGAAAACATAAATATCTAAAACCAAAAAGAATTAAAATAAATATTGTTATATCCACTTAACTAGTATAGAAGCAATAAAATAGATGATTGTGAAAACACACAGAAACATGGATAATGTTTAAAAATACTAATTTTTTTAAAATTTCTAAATTTTCTTGCATATAGTTACTTTCTTAAATTTTAAATATAAGAAAGTTTAGGATGCTTTAAAATTTATTTCTATGCCTAATCTTACTATTTCAACACTAAGAACAAAAGATATTATTACAATTTTATTTCTAAGCAGAACTCCAACGTAGTAATTCTAATTTTTTATTTTATCCCACATTCAGCATTAAGTATTATCTAAATTAACTGTAACAGATTAACAGAAAAGAAATACTAAATCTTCTGCCAGACAAAAAAAAAAGCCAACTCATTGGTCTTGCCTTAACTGTGTTTCTGTTTCTTCCAGTTTTTCTATTTGTCTCAACATCATTTCTTCCTGCTTTTTGCTATTCTAAGGAAATAATCAAAGTTGTTTATATTAATTATTTTGTTTCAACAAAAATAAAATTGAAACTTATCTAAAACCTTTATCTGTCAGCATAAAATTCATTTAGTTGTATATAAAACAAGACAATGGGTTATTGACCTTGCATAGTCCCACATTATTTTTCCAGCCTTACTTTAATTACTCCCCTAACAATCTCTATATAGGAGCTAAAAAAACAAGTCTTACTTGCTGTTTCCCAGTGATAATTTAAGCCTTCTATCCTCTGTTCATATTTCTGTGGTTTCAAGGAATGCTTTTCCATTCACTGTTACCTACTGAACTCATTTATCTTTTAAGCCTAAAATCAATGCTATACTCTCTGAAGCCTTCTCTTCCACCAAGGCAGAAGTAATCCTGTCAACTCTGGCAACACTTGATCCCAAAAACAACACATATAGTATTTTAAGTTATTTGAGCCTTTGGTTTCTATTGAGCCATAAGAACTTTAAGAGGAAGGAAGAGGTTATTCACCATTGTATCCTCCACATTCTTACATAACTTAATAAATACTTCACAAAAATCTTGATGCTTAAAACTAGATCAACTTTATCAATCGGTAGTCTATATATTCTGTTGCTCATTATCACCATCTAAATCAATATGCAAGTTTTTCTTTTGAAACAAAGTATCAGCTCTAAGATAATCAGATTTGTAAAGGTGAAAGAATCTTGGAAGGTCATCTATTCTAATACCCTAATTTTAAAGGTTAGAAAACTAAGTCACTGGTACTTTCTTTTTCAACTCACATCAATATCTTCTTGCTGTTTCTTGATTTCTAGGGCCATATCACTTGTTTCTTGTGCTAGTTCTTTGTTCTCCAGTGAAAGCCTGTTGCAGCTTGCATTTAGTTCAGTAGTCTTAAGCCTATTTTTTAAAAACATGTCAGACCTAAATATTTACCTATTAAATTATATGATGTGGAATTTAATTCAAGATAATCTTAGGGTAAAGGAAGAAAGAGCTGGGAGTATAAATAAGATTGGCCATTAGTTAATAATTTCTGAATCTGAGTGATAGGTACATGCTGCTTCATTACATTATTGCCCCGACTTTGTACATGCTTGAAATTTTCTAGAATAAGTTTTTCAAGATGTCATATATTTCCTTGAATATTCCCTACACATTTCATGCCCCATATTTTTCCACACATTTTGAAGGATATATGATTTTTTTCATATTATTTTTTTCTCTCTAGTATACTGTCTTTTAGAAACTATTCCAAACCTCTGGTGATTTGATTAAAGTAGTACATGAGGTATGAACTATTTTTAACAAAATATTTAAATTAAAATAAATAAAATTTGTTTAACTTCTATACACAACACTTGAACAGCTCTTACAAGATCTCAAATGCTCTACACTGGAAAAGAGATTACTGCAATTATTGGTTGCAATCAAAATCAATTTTAAATGAGAGAAGGGGACTGTGTGGCTCTATGGAATGATTTCAGTAGCACCTACTATCTTCTTCTACTTACCAGTACTGGAAAATCATTGAAGAGTAGATTAAAAAAAAAGAAAGGTTGAAAAAGCAAATATACCAAGGATAACATAAATTTATACTAAAGTATAAATAACTAACCAGCCCATTTATTAAAAGGAAATTTGGTTGATAAATTTTACTGATAATTCAATGACCTGTGTGTCACCAAAACAAATCTATGAAATAATTTAACAAAATAACCAAAATAACTATGTAGAACTGCAAATGATTATTTTTATCAGGAACCAGATATCTCCAAGAAAAGTAATACAGTGATCTTATAAAGAAGTTTTCAACTTTGTAACGTACTCTTTTTATGTTAATAACATGTATATATCATTGCTAAAGTAATTAACAATGGAATTAATAAATTATTTTGAACTCTAGGAATAAAACACAACTTTAACCCCATTTAAATAAATATCAAATATAACTTACTAATTTACTCTTAACTATCAGAAAGCTTAGAAATTGAATATATAAGTTATTTATAGACAGAAAACTTACTTCTCATTTTCAAGCTCAGTTTTCAGCTCTTTAACCTGTTTAGAATAATGCTGTTCACTTGTCACAATGGCAGTTAATTGTATTTCCAAATCATGTACTTTTTCCTGGAAAGTAAATGTATATAATGACAGCAAACATTTTTTTACTATTTTCTTATTTAAAAGTATGGCCACTTTGTAATCAAGTCATATATTTGGCAATATTTTGATAAGAAAATGTCAAATTTTAAAACTTAATGGATTTAATGCCAAAACCATTATAATTTTAGAATAAGGATCAATGACAAATTTAAGTAAATTCCATCTTGATATTCTAAAGCTCAACTAGTAAAATCATGTTCACATATAAAATATTTTCATCAATTTTGCTCTACCAGGTAATTAATCTCAATTAAAATGTTATATTAAGAAAAAATATATTAATTAATGAAATCAGGCAGTATCTTAAAAACTAAGCTCTTCCGGGGGTGCCTAGGTACTCAGTCAGTTAAGGATATGACTTCAGTTCAGGTCATGATCAGGAACTGAGATCTAGCCCCACCTCCAACTCCACACTCAGCAGGGAGTTGGCTTGTCCCTGTCTCTCACCCTATGCCCCTCCCCCACTTCTGCTCATGCTCAAATAAATAAAATCTTTAAAAAAAAATCTAAGCTGTTCTTATTATAAAAAGATAGTTACAATGTAATGCTGAAAAAATACTTCTTTTAAATAAAAAATCCATTCTAAAATTATAGTAAGAACACTATAAAATTATAAAAAAGAACTTAAAAAATTAAAAAGAACCTAATAACGGTGAAATTTTAAATGTATAAATTAAGAAATACTAAAGAAATCGAAAATGTGATTGTTATAAACCATAGCATTATGCATACTATTGATATCTATTGAGATCTCAATGTTGACCTTTCTCTCCCAAATTATAATATAAAAATTCTTTAGACTGGTTTCAAACAATCATTAGTATATTATATGTAGCATGAACACGTCCTTTGAAAGGAATTTTGTGAAGAAATCTCTCACAAAGCTAACAACTATACCACAATCTATTCTGTAAACATGTACTCTACTAATAAAATGTTGGAAAGAAAAATGTATTTTTTTAAAGCAAACCTCTCTGGTTTGGAGAAGACCAGTTAGTTCTTGTTCTGCTCCTTTTAATTCTTCAGCAATTTTCTCAAATTGTTTCTTTTCATCTAAAAGCTTTTGGTTTTCTGCCTATTTAAGAACATTAACAAATCATGACAGCCAAAGCACACATGTATGCAAAATAATCAAAATGTCTAACTGTAGCAAAAAGAATTATCAGTATCTCTTTGGCTAAATTTTTTCAAAATGAGAAAACAAGTCATAATTAAGTAAATTTCAAAACTAAATATGACAATGGACAGAGCCCTGAAATTTTTTATTAAAAAAAACATACAGGTTACTGAATTCAAACTTTATCTTATGTATAAATCACTCCAATTTATTAAATTTATTAGTCACTCACTATTTCATCAATCCTGCTTCTCATTATATTGTACTAAAATGTGTTTCCCTATAATTTTCATGCAATGATCATTGTTCTGCCTTCCTTAGTCACATAACTCTAATTTCTTTTTTACATGACAGCTAACAAATATTTTATCTTCACTATTCTATAATCTCTAATTCTATTATCATTCTTCCTATGAAATGGTTTTACTTTATTCCCTCAGGATGGACCTGAGTAGCCATCCTTGTATCAGACAAACTAGATTTTAAACCAAAGATTAATAAGAGATGAAGAAAGACACTATATCATAATAAAGGGGTCTATCCAACAAGAAGTTGTAACAACTGTAAATATTTACAGTATTTAACACTCCTTAACTTGGCAGCCAAATATATAAATCAATTAATAACAAAATTAAAGAAACTCATTGATAATAACACAATAATAGTAGAGGATTTTAATAACACCTCACAGCAATGGACAAATCATCTAAGCAGAAGATCAACAGAGAAACAAGGACTTTGAATAACAAACTGGATCAGATGAACTTAACAGATATATTCAGAGCATTTCCTCCTAAAGCAGCAGAGTACACAATCTTTTCAAGTGCACACGGAACGATCTTCAGAACAGATCAGATCAGATTTGAACTGGGGCACAAATCAGGATTCAACTGGTACAAAACAGACTTGAGATCCTAACCTCAGTATTTTCACACCACAATGCTATGAGACTTGAAGTCAACTGCAAGAAAAAACTTGGAATGGGGCAGCCCAGGTGGCTCAGTGGCTTAGCATCACCTTCAGCCCAGGGCGTGATCCTGGAAACACGCCCACATCAGTCCCACATCAGGCTCCCTGCATAGAGCCTGCTTCTCCCTCTGCCTGTGTCTCTGCTTCTTTCTCTCTCTCTCTCTCTCTCTCTCTCTCTCTCTCTCTCTGTGTGTGTGTGTCTCATGGATAAATAAATAAAATATTAAAAAAAAAACTTGGAAGGACAACAAATACATGGAGATTAAAGGACGTCCTCCTAAAGAATGAATGGGTCAACCAGGATATTAAAGAAGAACTTTAAAAATACATGGAAGCAAATGAAAATGAAAATGACAGCTCAAAACCTTTGGGATGCAGCAAAGGAGGTCCTAAGAGGGAATTATAAAGCAATAGAGCCCTTCTTAAAGAAGCAAGAAAAGTCTCAAATATACAACCTCACTTTACACCTAAAGGAGCTGGAAAAAGAACAGCAAATTAAGCTTAAATCCAGCAGGAGAAGAGAAATAATAAAGAGCAGAACAGAAATAGATGATATAAAGATTTTTCAAGACAGTAGGACAAATCAACAAAACTAGGAACCAGTTCTTTGAAAAAATTAAGACTGATAAACCCCAAGCCAGACTTATTAAAAAGAAAAGAGAAAGGACCAAATCTTTAAAATCACCAATGAAAGAGGAGATATCACAATCACAGAAATACAAACAATTAAAAAAGTATTATGAGCAATTATATGCCAACAAATTAGGCAATCTGGAAGAAATGGATGCATTCCTAGAAACATAAACTACCAAAACTGAAGCCAGAAGAAATAGAAAACCTGAACAGACCCATAACCAGCAAGGAAATTGAATTAGTCATCAAAAATCTCCCCCCCAAAAAAAAAAAAATCTCCCAGCAAACAAGAGTCCAAGGCCAGATGGCTTCCCAGGGTAATCCTAGCAAACATTTAAAGAAGGATAATACCTATTCTTCTGAAACTGTGCCCAAAAATAGAAATGGAAGGAAAACTTTGAAATTCATTCTTTGAGGCCAGCATTACCTTGACCCCAAAACCACACAAAGACCCCACTAATAGGGAGAATTATAAGCCAATATCCCTGATCAACACGGTTGCCAAAATTCTCAACAAGATACTAGCTAATAGGATCCAATAGTACATTAAAAGGATTATTCACCATGGCCAAGTGAGATTTATTCCTGGGCTGCAAGGGTGCTTCAACATCCACAAATCAATCAACATGATACATCACATTAACAAAAGAAAGGACAAGAATCATATGACCTTCTCAGCTGATGCAGAAAAAGCATCTGACAAACTATAGTGTGCTTTCTTCATAAAAACCCTCCACAATATAGGGATAGAGGGAACATATGTCAACATCATAAAAGCCATATATGAAAGACACAGTGAATATCATTCTCAATGGGTGAAAAACTAAGAGCTTTTCCTCTAAGATCAGGAACACAGCAGTGACGTTCACTCTTACTACTGTTATATAACAGTACTGGAAGTCCTAGCCTCAGCAATCAGACAACAAAAAGAAATAAAAGGCATCTAAATCATGTCTTCCCAAACAACATGATACTCTATATAGAAAACCCAAAAGGCTCCACCAAAAAATTGCTAGAACTGATACAGGAACTCATAAAGTTGGAGGATATAAAATCAACACAAAAAAGTCTGCTGCATTTTATACACAAACAATGAAGCAGCAGAAAGAGAAATCCAAGAATTGATCCCATTTGCAACTGCACCAAAAATCTTGATACCTAAGGAATAAACCTAACCAAAGAGGCAAAAGACCTGTACTCTGGCAAATATGTAACACTTATGAAAGAAATCGAGGAAGACACAAAGAAATGGAAAAACGTTCCATGCTCATGGATTGGAAGAACAAATATTGTTAAAATGTCTTTGCTACCCAAAGTAATCTACACATTCACTATTTCTATCCCTATCAAAATACCACGAGCACTTTTCACAGAGCTGAACAAACCACTCTAAAATTTGTATGGAAACAGAAAATACCCCAAATAGCCAAAGCAATCTTTAAAAATAAAAGAAAAACTGAAAGCATCACAATTCTGGACTTCAAGCTCTATTACAAAGCTGTAATCACCCAAACAGTATGGTACTGGCACAAAAACAGACACATAGATCAAAAGAACAGAATAGAGAACCCAGAAATTGACCCTCAACACTATGGCAAACAAATCTTCGACAAAGCAGAAAAGAATATTCACTGGAAAAAAAGTCTCTTCAACAAGTGTTGGGAAAATTGGATAGCCACACGTAGAAGAATGAACCTGGACCATTTTCTTACACCATACACAGAAATAAATTCATAATGGATGAAAGACCTAAATGTGATACAGGAATCCATCAAAATCCTAGGGGAGAACATAGGCAGCAAACTTCTTTGACCTCTGCCGCAGCAACTTCTTGCTGGACACATGAAAAAATGCTCCACATCACTTGGCATTAGGGAAATACAAATCAAAACCACTATGAGATACCACCTCACACTTGTCAGATAGCTAAAATTAACAATTCAGGAAACAACAGATGTTGGCAAGGAGGCAGAGAAAGGGGAACCATCTTACATTCTTGGTGGGAATGCAAGCTGGTACAGCCACTCTGGAAAACAGTATGGAGTTTCCTCAAGAAGTTAAAAATAGAATTACCTTACAACCCAGCAATTGCACTACTGGGTATTTATCCAAAGGATACAAAAATAGTGATTCAAATGTTTAGAGCAGCAATGTCCACAATAGCCAAACTATAGAAAGAGCCAAGATATCCATCAACAGATGAATGGATAAAGATGTGGTGTGTGTATGTGTATGCATATATGTATATACACACACACATACATATGCACAATGGAATATTACCCAGCCATCAAAAAGAATGAACTCTTGCCATTTGCAATGATGTGGATGGAACTAGAGGGTATTATCCTAAGTGAATTAAGTCAGAGAAAGACAAATACCATATGATTTCATCCATATGCGGAATTTAAGGAACAATACTCATGAACATAGGGGAACGGAAGGAAAAATAAGATAACAGAGAGAGGCAAACCATGAGAGACTCTAAAGTATAGAAAACAAACTGAGTGTTGCTGGAGGAGAGATGAGTGGGGGTATGGAGTAATTGAATGATGGGCGTTAAGGAGGGCACTTCATGTAATGAGCAGTGGATATTAGAGGCAACTGATGAATCACTAAATTCTATCCCTGAAACTAACAATATACTATATGTTAACTAAATAGAATTTAAATAAAAACTTTTTAAAAAAACCTACTAATTGTACTTAAAGAGTCTGAATTTTATCTATAGGCAATGTGGAGCTATTTAAAATTTCAATACAGCATATAATATGATATTTGTGATTTAAAAAGCTAACTCTAACAATAATATATAGAAAGATCCATATACATATATATGTGTATATACACACACACAAGTATCTACAAATATAAAGACTAATATAAGTTGAAAGATGCACCATGCAAATCATAAACTTTCTTCAAGACAAAAGGATACTAAAAAAAAATGACAAAAGGATACTATCAGAGATAAAAAGAGATATTTAATAATGATCAAAGATCAATTTGTCAGGAAAATATAATAGTTATATATGAATGTGAGGCTTATAATAGAAATTCAAAATATGTGACGCAAATATTGACATAATTAGAAAGAAACATTACTAAATCAAAATAGAATGGGCAGCCCTAGTGGCTCAGCAGTTTGGCACCACCTTCGGCCCAGGGCCTGGTCCTGGAGACCCAGGATTGGGCCCCGCGTCAAGCTCACTGCGTGGAGCCTGCTTCTCCCTCTGCCTGTGTCTCTGAACCCCCTCCTCTCTCTCAGGAATAAATAAAATATTTTTTTAAAAAAGGAGATTTTAACACTTATCTCTCAATTATAGAAAAAAGGACAAAAAAAAACCAGAAGATTTTCACAATACAGTTAATCAACTGAATCTAAATGACATTTATACAACACTATACCTAACAATAGGAGAGTACAAATTCTTTACAAGTAATAATATATTCTCTGATTATAATGGAATTAAACTAAAAATGAATAACAGGAATAAAAGAGGAAAGTCTCCAAATACATGGAGAAATTAAATAACAGACTTCTAAATAACCCCAGGGTCAAAGAAGAAATCAAGAGAAACTGAAAATATTTCAACCTAAATGAAAATGAAAATATAACAAAATTTGTGGGATGCAGCTAAAGAGACGATTAAAGGAAACTTACAGCATTAAATGCTCATTTTGGAAAAGAATGGTCTCAAAACAACGATCTAAGTTTCTATCTTAAGAACCTAGAAAAAGATCAAAATAAACAACCCAAAGCAGATAGAAGGAAGGAAATAGTAAAGAGCAGAAATCAATGAAACTGAAAATAGAAGAATGGAGAAAAATCAACAAAATGAAAAGTTGGTTATTTGAAAAGTAAAATTAATAAATTTCTATCAAGACTGACAAAGAAAAAAGAGAGCATACACAAATCACCAATATTAGTAATGAAAGTAAGGGAAAATACTATAGATTCCATAGACATTCAAAATATAACAAATGCTACAAACTCTATGCACAGAAAGTTGACAACTTCAATGAAATGGAGTAATTCCCTAAAAACCACAAACTACCAAAATCACCTAAGATAAAACAGGTAACTTAATAGTTTTATAATAATGAATGACATTAGATTCATAGTTTAAAATCTTGCCAAAAAAGAGTCTCTAGGTTCAGATGATTTCACCAGAAAATTCTAACAAATGTTTAAGGAAGAAATAACACTAATTCTATAAAATCCCTTTCAAAAAAATGGAAATGAAAGAAATGCTTCCCAACTCATTTTCTGAGGCCAGTAACAGCCTAATTCCAAAACCAGATAATCGAAGAAAACTATAGACTTCCCATGAACAATAAAACACAAATCCTCAACAGAATATTAATAAAACAAATTCATCAATGTAGAAAAAGAAAAATATGCCACACCAACTGGGATTTATCCCAAGAATGCAAAGCTAGTTCAATACTTGAAAAACCAATGTACTATACCATAAGATTCTGAAAAAGAAAAACCACATAATTATATCAAAAGGCACAGAAAAAAGCATTTGACAAAATTCAACATAGATTCACATTAAAAGCTGTCAAAAGGGACGCCTGGGTGGCTCAGCAGTTGAGCACCTGCCTTTGGCCCAGGGCATGATCCTGGAGTCCCAGGATCAAGTCCTGCATCGGGCTCTCTGCATGGAGCCTGCTTCTCCCTCTGCCTATATCTCTGCCTCTCTATGTCTCTCATGAATAAATAAATAAAATCTTTAAAAAAAAAAGCTGTCAAAAAAACTATGAATAGAAGGGCATTTCTAAAAAAAAATAATAATAATTAACATCACACTTAAGGTCAAAGTATCCAAGATGTACATGCTCACCACTCCTATTCAAGAATGTCATATTAGAAGTCTGATCCAGTGCAGTTAGACAAGAATAAAAGAACTACCACTGTCCTTATTTGCCGACAAAGTGGCTGTCTACATAGAAAATTATAAGGAATGTGCAAAAAACTCCTAGAACTAAAATGATTTTAGGAAGACTGCAGGATACAAGGTTAGTGCATAAAGCAATCATTTCCCATCTACTAGCAAAGTACAACTGGAAAGACACTTTTAAATAAAGGCAAAACACCTTTCAGAAAGGAAATACTTAGGTATAAATGTAACATGAATAGATTTATACACTGAAAACTACAAAATGCTAATTAAAGATTCAAGGACAAATAGATAACATGTTCATGTATTAGAAGACTCAACATAAGTAATCATAACAATTCAACCCCAATTGATCTATAGATTTCACACAATTACTATTATAGGATTTATTTATTTATTTATGATGGGGGGGGGGCAGAGACACAGGAGGAGGGAGAAGCAGGCTCCACGCCGGGAGCCCAACGTGGGACTCGATCCCGGGATTCCAGGATAGTGCCCTGGGCCAAAGGCAGGCGCCAAACTGCTGAGCCACCCAGGGATCCCCCCCACAATTACTATTATAATTCTGATGTAATTTTCTTAGATACAGACCAGCTGAAAATTTATATGATAAAGGAACTGGAAGAGCTAAAACAATTTTGAAAAATAATGAAGCTGGAGGAATCACATTACCAAAATCTAAGACTAACTATAAAGCTGCAATAATCAAGACACTGATATATTGGTGAACTGATAACAAATAGACAAGGAAAACAGAAATAGTCCAGAAACAGATCCATACAAATATGGCCAATTGATTTTTCTATAAATGTATAAAAGCAATTCAATGGAAAAAGAAAAGGAATCTTTTCAACAAATGATAATACCCCCACCAGATCAATCCAAAGTATTTAAATCTTAAATATCTCTCAAAACCATCCACTTTTTCTCACCACCACCTCCCAGCCTAAGTTATAATCAATCTCTCCTCTAGCTACTTCGGTTGTCTACTTAACTGTTGTATCTTAATATACTGTTCTCAATATTACAAGCCAAATAAGCTTTTCAAAATGCAAACTAAGTCACTCTCTACTCAAATTCTTTAGAGCTTTCCATTCCTCTTCGGATAAATACAAAACTATCTTGATATGATTCAAAAGGCCATCAATTGCCACACTCCTACTACTTAACTCTTTAGCCTCATTTTGTACCACTCTCTTCTTTTCACTCCACATTGCACTTACCATACTCCTTCCTATCAAAGGAACTTTACAAATAATATTTTCTCTTCTGGATAAGCTCTTCCCTTCCTTATCTGGATTTCAGTTCAATCTTTACTTTTGAAAGAAAAAAAAAAAAAGACTCTCCTTACCTAACTAGTTCAAATCCCTTTATTATAGGCCTGATAGCACTATGAATTAATCTTTCATTACCTTTGTCAGCATTTTAATATTATCTTTGAATGATTGCTTATATTTAAGTGTGATTATTTCATGACTATAGACCCATGCAAGCAGCATATGCATCCATTTGCTTCCAATTATACCCCCAGAGTATAGCATAATAGAAAGTCAGTATATGTTTGTCAAATGGTTAAATATATTGTTTTATTTTTTCTTTATAACTACCCCATTAGATTTGTACAATTATTTTCCCCATTTCATAGATGGAAAACAGGCACAACAATTATTTTGTAATTTTTAATTTTCCAAAGACAGAAAATTTAAACCTTAAGAAAAACTATTCAGTTCCATTTTGCAATTCATATATATCTAGAAATGTAAGGAACCTAAGAGATGTTGTAGTCTGTTTTGCTAAGTATGGGGGAGTCAAAAGGGTGAATAAATTTTTAAACAATTATACCAAAATAAATTAATTCCATTTGTGATACGTGCTATAAAGGAAAAGTTCAGGGTGGCTATAGGCATAGGCCATACAGAGACCTAAACTAGATAAGAGGGATTTATAGATAATATCAAGAGAGTTTTCCTAAACTGACATTCAAGGTGAGACTTAAAGTATAACAAAAAAATAAGTATGCATTATCAAATCTAAAAGCAATATAAATATTATTATTCACAAGAGCTGGAGTAAAGCAATTCAATGGAGAAAGAATTAGCATTTGGAAATAATGCTTCCTGAGAGACAGAAGAACCAGGAGTTGCAAAATCAAGAAGAGATACAATAGGTTAAACCCAAAATCATGTATCTGTAACCATAAACAGTATTATATAGCAAAGGTTAGCAAACTACAGCCTGCCAGACAAAATCAGCCTACAGTCTCTTTTTGTAGGCCCTTAACCTAAGGGTCATTTTTATATTTTTACAAGCTCGTTAAAAATAAAAGACAGGAAAAGGACAAGAAGGGGAAGGGAGGTGTGGAAAAAGGAGAAGAAAATTAATATTTTGTATGTAGACTAAAAGCCTAAAATATTTACTATCTAGTTCTTTAAAAAAAAGTTTGCTGCCCATGCTCTGTATATTGTAATCAGTTAAAACATAATGAAGCCTATCTTAACAAATTCATTAAACATGCTTCTATCTGAATATTAAAATAGTTACTGAATATATAACATATATATCTTCCTCAAAACTGTAGCTTGGTAGCTTAAAGGTATCAAAGGCATACCAAACTTACTATCAGTAAATCTGTAGTATCACATGAATATTTAATATTTAATTAAATGTAATGTCAACACACACTCAAATATTATAAACACCTTCACCAAGACAGTTTTCAAAATGTATTAAACTTGGTACAACTAAGAATGTGACTTCATTAAAACACAAATTTTTTTATATTTTAGCTGAAAACACTAATATAAAACATCTATAGTGTGAGAGTCTAAATCAGGGGATTCAATATTACTTTGAAAAGTAACTGCTCTGTATTAACAAGAGAAATTATATACTTACCAAGATTATTTTCAATTCTTCAAGTTCTACTTCTCTGTTATTTTTAAGCTTAGTCATCTCTTCTAAAATAAACAAACAAAAGATGTTAAAAGTCAGATTAAAAGAACATGAAAGGAGAGACAAGAAATAAGAATACCATCATTTAAAAGGGAAAAAACCAAGAGATGGTTTAGTCCAATTAAAGCACCATAAAGCATAGACGAAGTCCAAATGGAACTAATGCAAAAATAATAGATAAGTATTAATAGGAATGTTTCTGTTTCTATAAAGCGGAATTCCACAATCAAATGAACTCAAAGTTCATTAATCAAAACAAGCAATGAATCTACATAAAATATATTTGGAATGAGGTCATCCAGCATGTGCCTTTACATTTACTTCATCACTATCTAAATATCTACTCTTACTCTTCAAACTAAAAAGGAGAGGCAATCCACTTTCTCAAACTAATTCTGACTATTGTACTCTAGACCTCAATGTTCCTACCTCCTCTGAGACTTTAGTTGCTCTATTACCGATATACATGGAACCTCTGTAGAGGAATCTTTAAATTCCCCCATCCCATCTAAACATCCTTTTGAATACAAAACAATACCTGATTGATCTTTGTTATCTACACATTTCTTTCTCAGACCCATGCAAAACTAAAGCTACATATCACATCTTATTACATTAATAAAAACTATGATTTCAAAGATCAATAACCATTTTGTAGAATAATTCTCAGTCCTCTTTATTGTAGAGCTTTCTGATATTTGATGCTATTAACTACTCTCTACTTTTCTCCCTGTCATTTTCAAAACCTTGCATTATTTGCATTTCCTATCCTCTCTAATTCCTACTCCTATTTTCTTTGCTGACATCCTTTTTTTCTACCCTAAATAATAACACTCTACAATGCTTTTTCTTCTACTTTCTATTAATTCAGTATTAGGCTAATTAATTTTTAAGACTTTATTTAAGCTAATTAATTTTAAAACCTTTCCAATTCAAACCTCCTGCTTTTCTTTCCTTTATTAGATTTTTTTAACTGCCTACAAGGTTCCCAAATGATGTCGGTCACCTAAAATTTTGTTGTATCCAAAACAGTGTCCTCCCTCACTGCTACGTGTTTTAATCATTGAAGATATGAGAGACTTGCTAGAAGTTTCCCAGACTCTGTACGTTAAAAATAAGCAAAAAAATTTGCAACTGCCCACCGTTTTTAAGGAAAAATCAACAAAATATAAAATGTCACTATGGAATCTGAAAGAAAAGCCTGTCACATGCAAAGCTTATTTAATAAGTACATTTCATTTTACACAAAAAGTTAATTTTTTCAAATTTAAGGACTGATTAAAAATAGAGGGTGAATCTGTTACCTAACAGAGCAAAAGCAACAAGGGCACATAGAAAAATGACCACAGGAGTAAAAACCTGTTTAGAGCAACATTAGACTAAACTGAAGAGAGAAGACATATGAAGAAGCAAAGTAAACTGTCCCAAGTCAAAAACTGAGAATAAATTGACAGACTTTGTGTTTACAGTTGGTTTTAACTCGCTTCATCTGCACTACCATACTCTTAAATGAGCAATAAAAAAAGGTGATATTAGAGTTTGAACTCAAACAATGAGATGGCTCTTAAATTTATAACACAGAATAGTCAGATTTGTATTTTTAAAGGAAGACTCTAGCATTAGTGCAAAGAATGAACAGAAGGGAGACAAGCCTGGAAACAAAAGTACCAATTCTCAAACTATTACAATTATTACTGGTCAGAGGCATGTGGTCCAGACCTAATACCAAGATATAATAGGTAGAGCAGGCTTAACTACACAGAAAAAAGAAAGTGGTCTTAGTGTGAGTCAATGACTGAGACTGCTGAGGAAATGACAGAGGCTGATGGAGGAACATTCTAACCAAAATGTTAGCTTAAGAATATGTCATCAAGGAAGAATGCAAAGTGTAATCAGGAAACAAAGCAATAAGGGCTATTGGAGTAAGAAAAAGGTTATGAAAATAAGGCAAAGCTTCCACTGGTCTTCTATTCAATACAACAAGGGAAGAACAAAAATGAGGACAAATGAGGGCAATCTGAAGCATGGTTTGATGATTAATCTGCCAAATACAATTTGTGTTTCACTATGTTACTCACATGCATCCCTCTGGTAGACTAAGAGAATGTGCTGGGATCTTAAAACCAGAAAAGAAGAAATAGGGACTAGAACTGTTCTAAGTGTGTAGAGATGAAGAAAAACGGAATGATTCAAAAGATAGAATTACATTAGTTAGGTTTTATGAAGTAGATATTAAATGTTAGAAACAGGGGATCCCTGGGTGGCTCAGCGGTTTGGCACCTGCCTTTGGCCCAGGGCATGATCCTGGAGTCCCAGGATCGAATCCCAGGATCGAATCCCAGGATCGAATCCCAGGATCGAATCCCACGTTGGGCTCCCTGCATGGAGCCTGCTTTTCCCTCTGCCTGTGTCTGTGACTTTCTCTCTCTCTCTCTCTCATAAATAAATAAATAATCTTTTAAAAATAAAAAAGTTAGAAACAGAAGAACTAGATAATCAATTAGAAGTGAAAGTGGGAAAAAAAAGAGTATCATCCAAGATTTTGATTTTGAAAACAATACTTTTAACCAAAGAAGGAAATAGCCTAATGCTGAGTACTTACATCATTGTTAATGCTCTCCTACACATAATGCTTTCCACGTTCCACCATTCTCTACAACTACCCAAAGCCTCTTTATATCTGAAAGTTTACTTTTAAAATCTACGTCTTCTACAAAGTCTTTTCCAATTCTCCAGTCCACAGTGATACCTTTGGCTTCCTCTTATCATCAGCATTAAAACATATCCATCAGTAACAAATCTGTGAGCATTCACTGCAAATATATAAGTATGTATAAAATACAAATACATATTTATATATCATATAAAGTTTTTTTTAAGATTTTATTTATTTATTCACGAGAGAACAGAGAGAAGGAGAGGCAGAGGCATAGCCAGAGGGAGAAGCAGGCTCCATGCAAGGAGCCCAATGTGGGACTCGATCCTGGCACTCCAGAATCACAACCCGAACCAAAGGCAGACACTCAGTCGCTGAGCCACCTAAGCGACTCTCATATAAAGTTTTTTTTTTAAGTTTTAAAATATAAATATGTGTATTGTGATATTCATTATAAAATATATGAAAAGCATAAAATAAATAGAAGTTCCAATAATTCCTTCCCCTATCCTAATTGAATTCTTGCTCATCCCCTCATTTTGGAAACACTGCTGTAATGATTTTATGTGTTCAACATTTCTTTCACAATAATTAGAGATTTCTTCAAGAGCATAGTATTTTACATCTTTTATATGTTCCCATAGCACCTGAGATGATGCTAAGAAAGATGCTAAGAACTGTTTCACAGTTCTTGAAGAATTCCTTATGCAAATTTTTCTTAATCCATTGCTCTATTGTGAGGAAAATCACCTTATGCATTTGGTTTGCTAATCTGACAATAAGTGCCACTTAATTGCAATATCAGACTGAGTCATTACAAATAAATATCCATTAAAGATATTTTAAGGACTAAAATTATTCCTTAACATACAACACTTAATTGAAGGAAGATTTAAAAATTCGATGAAAAATGTGTTTATAATCACTCTAATATAAAATAATACCAAAGAAAGTATTTATCATTGTATAATACAATTTTGGATGTTCAAAGATTGTGGTCTGTAGTAGGAAACTAGGCATTGCCAAAGGGAAAGCATAAATAAGTTTCAAAAGTTCAACCAAACATCCTGACAAGGCAAAATTTCTTGCAATTATTTTAATTATACAAGTATCCAAAGCTAGTAATAAAGCCTACAGAAAGTTGTATAGTCTAGAAAAACACCAGCCAATTCATGAGTTATTTTAATTTATAAAAATAATTCTTTTCAGGGCATCTGGGTGGCTCAGTTGGTTAAGCATCCCAACTCTTCATTGCAGCTCAGGTCATAATCTCAGGGTCATGGGATCAAGCCCGATGTCAGGCTCCACACTGAGGAGGAGTTTGCTTGAGATTCTCTCTACCTCTACTTCTGCCCCCCACCCCGCTCTTGCACATGCTCTCCTCTCTCTCTTTCTAAAACATAATAAATCTTTTAAAAATAATCATACTTTTCACCAAAATTGGAAAAAATGTTTTTATATCTTTGTAATTCTCCTCATCTGTACCTATCTGTAAATATGAAACATAGGAGTTATTAGGATTAGCTAATTAATGGGTCCTTAAATTCATAAAATAACTATAGAATTTCTTGTTTGGCCATGAAATCTGTTGAATATTAGCAATACCATATGACAAACAGGGTAGCATTTTCCTATAAATAGTTCATAATCCAACATGACAAATCAATAAAATTTTAAAATTCAATTAAAATATGAGACATTTTCCAGCAAGAATTATTAAAGCCTCTAAATCCTAATATAAGAAAAACAGACTACAAACATCTCTTAGGTTCCTTACATTTCTAGATATCTATGAATTGCAAAATGGAACTGAATAGTTTTTCTTAAGGTTTAAATTTTCTGTCTTTGAAAAATCAAATTAAAAATTACAAAATAATTGTTATTTATAAATGATAGAGGAGAAACTATATTTTATTCTGAAACAGTGGGTTTTCAAATAATTTTTTATAATCAGCTAATATCATGTATATGTACACATGTTATTCTCTAATTCTAATTCTCTAAATCTTACCCAGTTCACTTGATCTCTTCTTAAGCTCCATGGTGAGTGTTTTCAATTGATCGTCACTTTTTTCCAATCTTGTAAAATATATTTTACAAAATGTTTACAATGTAAAACATTCTTTTAATCAGAATTCATCTTGTAACTAAAATTGGTACAATTTAACAATATATCTTGGATTCACTCAATTTTTAAACATTTTTTGAGTACCTATCATGCATAACACTTCAAAAGAAGACATTATCATAAATACATAGTTGTATATTAATTTCATCTGCACAAAAACCTTAAAGCTTATGGTGACAATTTATCTCTTAGCTACTGATGATAATCAAATTAATACACCTTAGAACTTTGAAAGAGACTGAATATGTAACTATTATTACATTGAATTCTGCCTTAGGAACAATATAAATGTGAGAATTGTGCAATTCACTTAATTCCTCCAGATTTTGGTCTCCTCTATAAAACTGAGGTAACTAGAACAGATGATATCTATTACAATTGCAAAATTTGAAAACTGCTTAGAAAGATCAATCAAGAATATATAAGATGAGGTGAACTTTTTAGAAAAGCTAGATTTTCTTTCTATACATAAGCAGTAGAGAAGAAATACTGGTCATGACTTTACAGAAGAGTTTGCATCTACCTCTCTTGCATCCTACCAAACTTAATTAACCCTAATGTTAATGGGAAAAAATAATTACTTAGGCCTCTTAACACAGCTTTATAAATACAAAGTATGAAAACAGAGTAAGTTTTTAATTCAAGTTTTAGACAAACTGTTATTTAGATGAAATGTAAATGAGTTTTTTATATAATCATATTCATTATTTTAATAAAAGTATTTGAATATCTACTCTGTTCCAGGCTAGTTACTAATGTCATACATCAGAAAGGTTACAGACCCCAGCAAAACAAACCCACACCCTAGGAAGTTATTTCTATGAAGCTAATAAATAATCTACAACTTAATTAAATATATTCTATCACTGCATCAGCATTATGAACTTAGCTATATAGTTTGATTCCGTGGCAAAGTATGCATGGCAACTATCCCAGAGAACACCTGCTATCTTTTCTTAGGAAACCTGCTTACCTAATACAAACTTTTAAAATGTATTCCCACTTTTTACATTAAAAAAGAGACTTGGTTTCCAATGTTATAAGAATTAGAGTTCAGCTGACAAAGAAGAGAGAATACAATGAATATTGGAAATAAATTGTTTTCATTCAACTAAATAAAAAATATTTTTACCTTTGCTGTTCTGTTGTCAACAGTTCTTTCAAGTTGTAGATAGAAGTTTTAAGTTCAGTAACCACAAATGAATGAGCAGCTTTAGCTTTATTAAATTCTTCCATCTGATCTTCTTTTTCTCCAGTGAGTTGATATATTTTTTGTGTTGCCACCTGTAAATCTTCCTCTAAAGCCTTCTGAGTACTCTAAATGAAATAAAGTAAAAAACAAATGCTATAATCCACGGGCCTTAAAAAACAAAAACAAAAAAAAACCTGAACTCCTCTGCTTCTAGGATTTGCTGCCCTTCCCTCTCTTCTTATCACCCACCTCCTTTACATCACCCTGGGCAATCTGGAATGCCCACTCAAGTACTCCTATTTCAATTCAGTATTCTCCCAAAGCCAATCTATAGTCCCAACTTCCCAATGGAGTCCTCCTGGCCCATAGGGTTCTTTCAATTTTTAGAACTAGTGTAGCAATTTTTGCCTGAATCACTCTGTTGGTACCTAGCATGGTCTTAACTATTTTAGTTATTACTTTTGATGTGTTTTTATCCAATGTTTTTAATTGAACTATAAGCATTTTATAGACTAGGATTTTATCTTCTCTACTTGAAGTTCTGGTTCCTTGTATATAGTATTAGCATTCAATAAATATCTGATTCATAGTATGAGGCTTATCAGACACTAATAGGTTTTTATATCATACCACACTTCTTTGCAAAGACATTTTAATATCTTCTAGTTCTGATATCAAATGATTCTGCTTCTCATTTGACTCTTTTAGGTTTTCATTCTGTAATTCTAAAAAAGAGAGTTGTGAATTGGTAGTACTTAATAAAAAATACATACCAAGAAGGCGAATTATTTGTTACAATTACTTTTATTCTATGAAATACTCTAAAATGAAGTATAATTATGCAAATACAAATGCTCTGATATTGGTCATCATCTACTTTTACTGACTTTTCAAGATTATCTCCCAAGCACTCAACAGTGAATATACAAAGATTTTTGGTGCTACGTTTTTAATAACAGCTGAACATTGAAACAATCTAAATATTCAACAGGAGATAGATTAAATTACAATGGTACATACACACAATGGCATACCATGTAGCCACCAAAAATGATGACTTATTAATTACTAATTTCAATACACATTCACAAAAGGGCAAGTTTAAACGGTATTTATATAGTGTACGTGAAAGGACACACAAAAATATTACAAGTAATTTATCTCTTAATGATGAAATTATTCCATATTTTATTTTCATCATTGCCCACCTTGATTTTTAGATTTTTCTCAAATATTACATTCAGGGGTACCTGGATGGTGCAGTTAGTTAGATCTCTGACTCTTGACTCCAGCTCATATCACAATCTCAGGCTTGTGAGATCAAGTCCCACATTGGGCTATGGAGTCAGCCTGCAATTCTCTCTCCCTCTCCCTCTGCTTCTGCTCCTCCTGCTCATTTTCTCTCTCTCTCTCTCCCCCTTTCTCTCAAATAAATGAATGAATAAATCTTTAAATAACTAAAATAAAATATTATATTTATATGCTGAAATATTATGGGGAAAAAGCTTTTGACTCTACAGCTAACATTCACTAAATATTGTTAGTTACTAGTCTATGTGCTTTGTATGTGTGCATTCACTTTTAAACATCATAAAAACAATAGAGAAAAAAAAGAAGTTCATGCTCTCTTCCCTGGGTTCAAATTATTCTACATCCTCTTATTAGCTACCTAACCTTGCCACAAACAAAGACATTCCATGCTCCTGAACTACAAGAATTAATATCGTTAAAACATCCATACTACCCAAAGCAAACTACATATTCAATATAATCCCTATCAAAATACCAATAGTATTTTAATAGAACTAGCACAAATAATTCCAAAACCTGAATGAAACCAGATAAGACCCTGATTAACCAAAGCAATTTTGAAAAAGAAGAATGAAGCTGGAGGTATCACAATCCCAGATCTCAAGATACACTACAAAACTGTCGCAAACAAAATAGTATGGTACTGGCACAAAAATAAGACACATAGATCAATGGAACATAATAGTGAGCCCAGAAGTAAACTCACACCTATATAATCAATTAATCTACAACAAAGGAGGCAAAAATATATAATGGGAAAAAGTCTCTTCAATAGGGACTGGCGAGACTAAAAACTGACATTTAAGAGAACAAAAGTGGACTACTTTCTTACACCATACACAAAAATAACCTAAAAATGGATTAAAAACCTATATGTGAGACCTGAAGCCATAAAATTCCTAAGTGAAAACATAGGTAGTAATTTCTTGGACACTGTCCTCAGCAGCATATTTTTTTAATTTTATTTATCTTTTTATTTTTTATTCGTTTCAGAGGTAGAATTCAGTGATTCATCACTTGCATGTAATACTTAGGGCTCATGACATCAAGTGACCTCCTTAATGCTCATCGCCCAACTATCCCTTCCCCCAACCCACTCCTCTAGCAACAACCCTCGATTTGTTCCCTAGAGTTCAATGTCTCTTATGATTTGCCTCCCTCTCGATTTTCATCTTTTTTTCCTTTCCTTCCCTATATTAATCTATTTTGTTTCTCAAATTCCATGTATGAGTTATATCATATGGTATTTATCTTTCTCTGACTGACTTATCTCACTTAGCATAATATCCTCTAGTTCCATCCACGTCATCTCAGTAACCTACTTATGCATGTATCTTCTTAGGCAAGAGAAACAAAAGCAAAAAATAAACTACTGAGACTATACCAAAATAAAAAACTTTTCACAGCAAAGGAAACCGTCAATAAAACAAAAAGGCAACCTACTGAAAGGGAGAAGATATTTGCCAATGATATGTCCAGTAAGGGATTAATATAGAAAATACAGAAAGAACTTACACAATGCAACACCAAAAAAAAAAAAATCCAATTAAAAAATGAGCAGTGGACCTAGGGCTCCTGGGTTGCTCAGTCAGCTGAGCATCTATCTAACTCTCAGTTTGGGCACAGGTCACAATCTCAGGATCCTAAAATCAAGCTCCAAGGTGGGCTCACTGCTCAGCATGGAATCTGCTTGAGATTCTTTCCCTTTCCTTCTCCTTCCCCCTCAGCCCCTCCCTCTCCGACTTGTTCTTTGATATTCTCTCTCTTTTGAATAAATATTTTTTAAAAAATGAGCACAAGACTGGAATAGACATTTTTTCCAAAAAAGACATACAGATTACCAACAGACACATGAAAAGATGTGTCTCACATCACTCAACATCAAGGAAATGCAAATCAAAACTACAATGAGCTATCACCTCACACCTGTCAGAGAATGGCTAGAATAAAAAAGACGACAAATAACAAGCGTTGGCAAGGATGTAGAGAATAGGAAACCCTCATGCAGTGCCGCTGACAATGTAAATTGGTGCAGCTACTGTGGAAAACAGTATAAAAATTCCACCAATGTTATAAATAGCATTACCATAAAATCCAGCAATTCCACTTCTGGATATACATCCAAAGAAAACAAAAATAATAATTCAAAAAGATATATGCACCCCTATATTACTGCAGCACTGTTTACAATAGCCAAGATACGGAATTAACCCAAGTGACCATCAATAGATAAATGGATAAAGAGATGTGGTATATAAATACAATGAAATACTACTCAGCGATATAAAAAAGAATGAGATCTTGCTATTTGTGACAACATGGATGGACCTAGAGAGTATTATGCTAAATGAAATAAAGTCAGACACAGAAAGACAAATACCATATGATTTCACTTATACACAGAATCAAAAAAAACAAAAAACAGACTGTTAAAAAAAAAAAGAAACAAAACAGACTGTTCAATACAGATAACAAACTCAAGGGCTACCAGAGGAGAAAGTAGGTAAAAGGAGATGCGTGAAATAAATAAAGGGGATTAAGAAGTACAAACTTTACCTATAAAATGAGTAAGTCATGGAGATGAAAAGAATAGCATAGAAAATAGTCATAATGTAGTAATGTTGTTTGGTACCTCAGTGAGCTCTGAGTAATGTATAAAATTAAATCATTATATTATACATCTGAAATATAATACTATATGTTAATTATACTTTAATAAAAATACAAACATACAGTATGTAGAAAAAGAGAATTCAAATTCCAGAGAATTGGAATTTGAAAAAGTAATAAAATGGGTATTTTAGAAGGAAAAAATATGATTAATCCAAAATTTAGAATTTCATTCCATTTTTGTTTTAAAAGCAAATTAGACACAGCAGAAGGCAAGATTAGGAAACAGGTGGATAGAAGATTTCCAAAATGAAATAGAGAAAAAAAGAATAAAAGATACACATGGGACAAATGAAAAGTAACTTAAATGAATACATTTCAGTGCTTATGAGTCTACAGAATCACACAGAGTTACTTGTTACCAGTATATTAGGTCCAGGTTATATGATAAGATTAAATATCCATTCATCCTAACAACTATTTAACTACTATGTACATAGCAGTATGCTGGGCACTGAGTTACATAGATATTTAATGAGAGACAGTCCCTTCCTGCAAGGCACCCAGTCACAGATGAGTAATGGTTAAACCATTCTAAAGAAGAAAGAGTTCACTGGAATTTAGGCAAAATATCTGGAGTGGAGATAAGAGGTCCCTCCTTTTGGATAGAGGAAGTAGTCAAAAGTATGATGGTGACATAGGAAGAACGTAAAATGTAGGAGAAGTTAATTTCATGATATCTGGAGTATAGAATGTATTAATAATTGTAAGGTAAAATGAAGGGCATAGTTTCACATGACTAGATAATATTTGCCATGTGAAAAAGAATGTTTTTAAGAGAAAAGAGACAAATATCACAAAATCTATATGATGCTCTGAAAGGTGCACAGTGTTTCACAAAGTGTATTATGCCTTCCAAGTGCCCTGTCACTTAAACAAGTTTAAAAAACATTCAATAAAATACTCTAAACATAACATTCAAGATTCTTCATAGTCTGATCCAATCACTCTTTTCCAGTCTCATCTACCTGAGTTCTCTAGCATAAAGACACACTAATCAGTGTTTCAAATATATCCTAACTTTGACACTTCTAGGATTTGCACAAGGCATTTCTTCTGCCTACATTCTCCCTTCCAATTCACTGTCTAGTGAAATGATAATTATCAAAGGTTTAGTTCAACAAGCAATTTTCCCTAATGCCTTTCCAAATGTCTTGCTCCAGAAATACTCCCTCTAGATCATGTTCCCCATGTATTCATTCATTCATGAAATATTTATTGAGTGTCCTGTATGTCAGACATTGTTCTAGGCACTTGGAATGCATCAGTAAACAAAAGAAAAAAAATATCTCTGTTTTTTGGAGCATTTTGTGGACATTCTGAAGAAGGATAGAGTACGGAAAAGTGAAAAGAGGACCACATGTACGTTGAAAAAGCTCCTGAAAGTGACTCTACTACATCCTCCTCCAACTGATCCAATCCAGGTTGAGAATTACAGCACTAGAAAGCATTACAACAAAATTATAATGAAAACCAAAATTTTAAATATAAGGGTAATACATAAGACTCATTGTTACATTTTCTTATGTAAATTCTTACTTGTCTTTTCTTCTAATTGATTAACTTTATCTCTGGATTCTTCTAGCAGAAATATTAAATCTTTCATTTTATTCTCTTTCTCAGTATTTTGGAGCAATAGCAGTGATACCTAAAAAGGAAATATTTAAGTAATACATTATAGATATGAAAAATTAAATATGACACCTTAGCATTTACCATCACCTATGATTATTTTATATACTTGTTTATATGCTTTTTAGCTGGTTGTGCCTGGGCATTTAGTAATATACTTACACTGTGTTCATTCATTCAATAAATGTTTAAACTAATATGATCTATCCAATATTATTTTGTTCATTTAAAGTTAGCATTTAGAAGAAATGTAATAAAATCTGTTGGTTCATTTATTCCATTAATATTATGGAGCACTTACTCTGTTCCACAAACCATACTAAGCATTGTGTATACAGAGATGAGGGAACTTAACTTCAAGAAACTCAGGGCCTAGGAACTTTCCAGAACAGCTGGTGAGAAGCAGAGGAGCAGCAGCTGCCTAAGCTGCACCCAGCAATGCCCTCCTTCCTGCTCCCCCATATTGGCCTCTATGATAGCTGTAGAATATGGTGAAAGTAACTACTTAAATATGATCCTTTGGGAGTCAAACCCAATGCCACTCAAGAAGAAATGAAAAAGGCTTATAGGAAACTATACTTTAAGTATCATCCTGATAAGAATCCAAATGAAGGAGAAAAGTTTAAACAGATTTCTCAAGCTTATGAAGTGCTCTCCGATGGAAAGAAAAGGGAATTATGTGACAAAGGAGGAACAGACAATTAAAGAAGGTGGAGCTAGTGGGGGTTTTGGCTCCTGGTTACACTTTTTTCCTTCTCTTTGGACCATGATAAGCTTCAGAGTAGTGACTTGGGGAGCAGGGTCACTTAGAGTGAAGAGACATTCATGTGGAGAAGTTAATTCGCATGTATGAGACAGATAGAAAGGTGTTTTTTAAGGTATAGGCTTACTCTAAACCATTTAACTTCTGTTCCAAAGTAACTGTAATTTAATGTTGGTAGTATACCAAATTATGATGAAGAGCTTTAATTGTATGTTTAAGAAAAGTCATGTCCACAAGTTTAAATCTAGATATCAGAATTAAGCAATTCTTGGGATGCCTTGGCAGCTCAGCGGTTGAACATCTACCTTTGTTTGGCTCAGGTCATGATCTCAGGGTCCTGGGATTGAGTCCTGCATCAGACTCCCTTCAGGGAGCCTGCCTTCTCCACCTATGTCTCTGCCTCTTTCTGTGTGTCTCTCTCATGAATAAATAAATCTTTTTTTAAAAAAATTAAGCAATCCTTGAAATGTATGAATGTCTCCTTAATATACTGATTACAAAGCATAAAAAAAAAAAAACTCAGAGCCTCGACCAGGAAACAAACAACTATACTCAAATTTTTTTAGTAATATGAAAAAAATATTATATGAATCAAGAAAAAAATACCTAAATCAGCCCTAGGAGATATAATAAAAAATTAGTCCTTTTCAGAGTACTGAACTGAATCCGGATAGACAGTAGAAATTAATCAGGCAAACACAGAAAAATGAATGTTCTAACTCATACAAGAGCACAAAGGATCAAGAGTTTATGCTTCATTTAAGAACTGAAAATATTCAGATGACTAGAAAATAGAGTCCATGAGAAGAAAAAGGTAAAAGATAAACTTAAAAAGACAAGCCGGAGACTTGCAAATTCAAGATGGCAGGAAATACCCCACTGCCCTATTTCATCTACAAATCATCCAAAAAAAAAAAAAATAGGAGAACAGACTCCATCTCCCATGAAACCTTGAGACTTCTATAACCCAAACCACAACATGTAAAGGAAAGCAGTTGGAAGGAATGGAAAATGAGAACAGAAAAGTAAGGTCAAACCTAAGAGCCCACAGATGAAAGATAACTACTGAGAAGCAAAATAACTCAAAACCAAAGAACTCCAGAATGTTTCAAGAATTGGAGGCAACAGAAACTGTGGAAAGTAGGTATGAAAAAGGAGACTAAGTATAAGGAGACTATTTGGAAGTCTGTAAGAGTATTAAGACATCCCTAAGCCCACTTAACCCTCCTTTTTTGGACTCTACTCCTTGATAGCCAATGTAGTCAGAGAACTAACCCTACCCAATTTTTGCAAAAGATCCATAGTCATATTGAAAAGGAAAATCCCTAAACCTGGTATTCCAAGCACAGGGCGGGTTGGGAGTGAAGGATATAACTGAAAGATCAGCATATGGAATGGTGAGACTCAGTCTGTCCTTCCTACCCTACCAACCCCAATCCAAAATGCCATTGGCCAAGTTTTTATCCCCAAGCAGGAATTTGGAGAACTCCAGAAAAAAAATTATTATAAATAATAACATTTAGAAGTCCATAGCAAAATACCAGTTGGCTACACCACCACTGTACAGGGAACTCCAACAATCTACAAGCTCTGCCCATGCATCCAGAACTCCAATAAGCTTTTTAGCACTTCCTTTTACTTTTGTGTTCCTTATAATATGCACAATTTTAACTCTTAAAAGGCCTTCTTTCAGAAATCTAGTTTAAAAGTTCAGCTAAAACATAGAAAACTGTTAACTCTTTCAAAAGATCCAAACATTGATCCCTGGGTAGCTCAGTGGTTTAGTGCCTGCCTTCGGCCCAGGGCATAATCCTGGAGCCCTGGGATCGAATCCCACATCAGGCTCCCTGCATTGAGCCTGCTTCTCCCTCTGCCTGTGTCTCTGCCTCTCTCTCTCTTTCTCTGTGTCTCTCATGAATAAATAAATAAAATCTTAAAAAAAAAAAAAAAAAAGGATCCAAGCATAGCATAACCATAACTTAAAGAAACCTCTAAGTATCTTCTCTGTACTTTCAATTAACTTTTTAAGTAGATATCCTTGTTATCTATTATTACAAAATATCTTGTGGCAAATCAAAGAAGAAAACTCTGAAAAAAATAGGGCAAAACAGAGGAGGATTCCTTTCTATAAATCATTTTCTATTTGGGAAGCATTTGACTTGAAATTGATAAAGTTGCCATAACCTGAAATCGACATTCTTGTGAATATCTAAGAACACAGACTCTTATTTTCAAGTTTTCCACTATATGACATTAATAGAAAGAAGCAAAGGAGTATTTTAGTTCCCCTCCCATGGTGTCACGAATAGTAATGCATTTCAAACTAAACTGCACAACGTGGGTTGAGCGGTCAATGATCATCATCTTTACATTTTAGAAAGTTTTTATCTGAACAGAAGTTCTTAAATATTTTCACAGCAATGTCCGATTACCCACTGATATAACTATTGTAGAAAATTCATTGATTTTTTTCTAAAAGGGCTGGCATTCAGTGCATGCATGTTTGAATCAATGTAAATTAATTCTGCTAGGCAAAAATTTAAATATTTGGATATGCAGAATATTAAAATTCTCATAGAAATTCATCATGCAGTGAGCTGATACAGATTTCTTTTGAAATTTTAAGTATTTTATGAAGTAGCAAATACAAAAAATACAGAGCTGATTATTTAAAAATACCTGCTTTTCCTTGTCATTTACTTCCTTCTTATATTCCTCTTCCAGGTGTTGGATTTTTTCATAATCTTCCTTTACTTTAAAAATAAAGCAGAAATAGTTTAATATCTTAACATAGTTCTATAACAGAATTTAAAGCTTCTGACATTTTACTCCACCTCCTTATTTATCTAAATACTAAACCCCAAAGGTATCAAACAAGCTAAATTACTATTTTCTTGCTGCCAACTTTGTTTAGTAAAGTAGTAAATTTAAAAAACATCAAAGTATAACAAAAAAATTCTATAATTTTTACAATAGCATATATGTAAGAGCTTATTCTTTATAATAATCTGAAGTAACAAATTTTAAATATATATACAGTTGACCCTTGAACATTAGGGATGCTGACCCATATACAGTTGAAAATTCATGTATAATATTTGACTCCCCCCAAAACTTAACTACTAATAGCCTATTAACCAGAAGGCTTAACCATAATATAAAATTGCTTAACACGTATTTTAAATATCTAATGTATTATAAACTGAATTCCTAAAATAAAGTTAGAAAAATAAAATATTAAGAAAATCATAAAGATGGACAGCCCGGGTGGCTCAGCAGTTTCACGCCGCCTTCAACCCAGGGCCTGATCCTGGAGACCCCGGATCAAGTCCCACGTTGGGTTCCCTGCATGGAGTCTGCTTCTCCCTCTGCCTATGTCTATGTCTCTGCCTCTCTCTCTCTCTCTCTCTCTCTCTGTGTGTGTGTGTGTGTGTCTCTCTCATGAATAAATAAATAAAATCTTTAAAAAAAAAGAAAAGAAAAAATCATAAAGGAAATACAGTTATAGTACTCCGCTGTATTTACTGAAAAAATATCATATATAAGTGAACCTGCACAGTTCAAACCTATGTCATTCAAGGGTCAAGTTATTTTAACATGAAATTTTACTCAAAAAATGTAAAAATAAGACCAAATTACACTTCTAAAAAATTAAGTACAAATCATAGTAAGTTAAAAAACAAAAATAAAATAAAATAAAAACAAATCATAGTAAGTTTGATTTCAGGGAAAATGTAGCTTTGAAGCCAGAAGGTAATTTTTAATATATTATCAATTTCCTGCCACATTCCACAAGATTTTGAGGGATTTACAATACAACAAATACAAAATTTAAAGGAATTGGGGCAGGACACCTGGGTGGCTCAGGAATTTGGCTCAGGGTGTGATCTCCCAGGGTCCAGGATCAGGATTGAGTCCTGCGTCAGGCTTCCTGTGGGGATCCTGCTTTTCCCACTGCCTATGTCTCTGCCTCTCTCTGTGTCTCTCATGAATAAATAAATAAAATCTTTTAAAAAAAATAAAAAATAATAAAGCAATTGGAGCATCAAGCTGACAGTGTGAAAACATTAAAAGAATCTAATAAAAAGAGAAACATCAGTACAGTAATATGAAAATTAAATAGGATCCATACAATTATTTCTTTTAAAGATTTACTTATTTATTTGAGAGAGAAAGACATAGTGACAGAGAGAGCAAGAGCACAAGCAGGGAGGAGAGGGAGAGGCAGGTTCCCTGCTGAGCAAGGAGACCAATGCGGGACTAAATCACAGGACCCAGGGATCATGACCTAAACCAAAGGCAGACGCTAACCAACTGAGCCACCCAAGTGCCCCGGATCCGTACATTTAAAATGCATTTCCAATCTGGAATTCTCAGCTTGCACACGAAGTTCCTCAAAAGCTATTATCAATTTCTGAAACATAAAGGTTAACTTTTAAGAATCATACTTACATTTTTTAAATAGGTTCTTCAAATTATGAATATATTAATAAATTTGTCTCATGATCATTAGATTTAAAACCACTCAACTTTGAATAATACCTATAATTTATAATAATTAAGTAATTTACTAAAAATGCATTAAGAGAGCCTATTATATTAGCTTCCCAGGTGCTTAAAGGCACTGAAGACATGTTATATAACACCAAACAGCAGCAAAATGATTGTTGGTATTCTACTCATTTTTAATAGCTCATATTAAAATCTGTAATTTTATTTTTGGCTTACTTATTTAATTTCTGTTTTCCCCCACTAAAGTGTAACCTATCTGAGTTCTCTCCCCACTAGAGTCCAAATTACGCTTCCATTATCTGACAGCATGAGTTCATTCAGTATTCAACAAATTCTGATTTGCAAAATTTTATGAATTCATTTATTTGTTCAAAATTTAAGGAATTAAATTCATTTATTTCCTATTATTATATGCCAACCACTGTCTTAGGCACTTGAGATATAAGACAAAGTCCTTACCCTACTGGAACTAACTTATATTCCAGTGTAAGAAAGAATACTTACACATACACATGTATTATCAAATAAATGTCATGTAGTTCTAAGTCCTCTTCAGAAAAGTTGAATGAGGTAAGGAGATAGAGAATAACTGAATGGAAAGGTGTTTTAGATAAAGTAGGGGGATTTAAAAAAAGGAAAATGAAGCTTATAAACTTGCATAAAATCTTGGACACAAAAGTTCTAGACAGAACAAAGTCAAAGAATCAAGATCAAAAAGAGCTTAGCAAATTTCAGGAACCTTAAAAAGAAAAGAACAACTATAGTAGAGAAGCAAAGTGGAAAACAAAAAAGGATGGGATAAGAAAAGTAAGCAGCAACCAGACACAGATTAATAATATTTTGTATGTTTTTCAAATTAATGGCTATGTGTCATAATATGCTAGTCTCTGACACAGAGTTTATATTTGATATATTAAAAGGTGTCACTAACAGGAAATTCAAAAGCTACTAACTAACAACACATTAATACACCTAGTAAAGAACCTTAAGAATCTTACTGGATATAATCACACGTCAACAAATTAATAATCCTTACATCAAGGAGAGCTATCACTCTACTTAGAAATGATCTGTTTAAAATATTTAACTTTTTACTATCACTTACCTCAATGTTATTATTTAGATCCACATATACTTGCCTAGTTTCTTCTCGTTCATATTCATCTATTATTAACATAAAATATTTTAGAATTAAATTTTAAAATGATTATGATGCCAACATGATAATACTCAAAATGCCTCAGGAAAACATTAAAATATTTAAAATTCTGTGTTAGTGAAGTATATTAGTATATCTTGAGTCTCTTAAAGTATCATCAAATGTATAGAATTATTGAATTACTATGTTGTACATCCGAAACTAAAGTAACATTGTCAACTATATTTCAACAATAAACTTTTAAAATAAGTACTTCATAGTAAGACACAGTGAGACATGATTGTACTTCAACCTCAAAAGCTCTAATTTTCTGTTTTAGAATTACTATCCATGATTTTATCCAAACTTTGTAAAATATATTTACAGTTTTAGCCTTTACAATGGGTAGGGATTTAACAATTATTCTATCAAGTATTTTTCCTTTGTATATTTACAATTCATAGGGTACACATGAAAAGCCCACTCTTCTGATTTCTTGCTCTACCTGAGGATGCAGAAAGAAAGATAAACCTCAAGACACAAAGAACAAGGTTATGAATAGGTGTAACCCCAGAAGGAAATCCTCTATAAATTCTCGACCACCTTTTTATTTTTATGTTTTTTAACCTAAGCAATTATTCCCTCTAGCTATAATCTATTCAATAGATTCTACCAGAATTAAAGCACAAAATAATAACAGAAAGTGTGGTTGCTCCTTTATCATTCCCCCAAATGAGGCCAGCATCACATAAAGCACATTAAAGATACTTTTCTTTTAAAAAACCCTCTACGTCCAACATGGAGCCCAATGCGAAGCTTGAACTCATGACCCTGAGATCAAGACCTGAGCTAAAATCAAGAGTCGGATGCTTAACTGACTGAGCCACCCAGGTGCTACAGAGCATATCAAATTTAAACAGGGTGTAAGTCCCACATTATCAGTAACAAATGGCAAACAAGAGCACAGCAGCTATGATAGACTCAACTGTTAATGAGAAGCCAAATAACTGAAAAGAGGGTATATGAACTAACTTCAGAAGAATACAGGTTTCTAAACCTTTCAAAAATAATGGAAAGCACTCTGGACTTCTAGCATATGAAACAGGAACTGAACCATTTTTATCTGAATATTAAAGGGCTGGGAAATTTAAGGAAATAAAGGCAGAACATATCAGCATTTGAACAGAAAGATAGTTTTTACTTCTCCACCTATTCTTTCTCATATTCACTACCTAATACACTTAGAAACACATCTTCTCTACTGCTCAGAAACTATTTGTGCCAAAGAACTGCATTCTGTTACCAACACCTCCAATCTTCCCATTACCAATAACATCAATACTTTCAAAATACCCTCCAGCCATTCTTCTAATAGGACAGTCCCGAAAAATTGAACAAAAAAAAAACTACAGAAAAAATAAATGGGTTTGATGTACTTTACAGTTGTCAGAAGCAAGGTCCTACAGGTAGCACAAAGGGACTCTGGTAGCTGAGTGTTCCAATGTAGTGATGTGCAGTATTATAAAAATATAAGCCTACATTTTTTGTTTTTCTTGATATTTATCTATCCATTGATCTACCTACCTATCTCCTCACCCCCCACTTCACTACCTCTCCCTACTAACTTCCTTCTTCCCTTCCCCAACCCCTTTCTGCCTCCCCCACTCCGACACTTATTTTACCCTAGTCTGAGCAACTAGATCTCTCAGCATTTGCTCCCTTAAAGAAGAGATGATTCAACCAAATGCAAAGAAAAAAATCTCTGAAAAAAAAATAAAAAATAAAAAAATAAAATAAAATAAAAAAAATCTCTGAACTTCAAAAGACCAGTGTTGAGGGTTAGGGGCAGGTTCAGGACATAAACAATAGGTTTTTTTTTTAAATATTTGAATCAGAATGAAGCTTCTTAACCTCTACACCAAGAAATATTTACTCATTTGTGGAAAGAAGTCTTTAAAAGGGGAGTTAAGGGATCCCTGGGTGGCGCAGCGGTTTGGCACCTGCCTTTGGCCCAGGGCGCGATCCTGGAGACCCGGGATCGAGTCCCACATCGGGCTCCCGGTGCATGGAGCCTGCTTCTCCCTCTGCCTGTGTCTCTGCCTCTCTCTCCCTCTCTGTATGACTATCATAAATAAATAAAAAATTTAAAAAAGGGGGGGAGTTAAGGTGCATGGGTGGTGGTGCAGTCAGTTAAATGTCCAATTCTTGGTTTCAGCTCAGGTCATGATCTGGGGGTACTGGAATCGAACCCTGAGTCAGCCTCCATGCTCAGAGCAGAGTCTGTTGGAGATTCTCTCTCCCTCTCCCGCTCATGCACTCTAATAAATAAATAAATGATTTTTTTAAATGAAAAATAAAAGGAGGAGGCTAAGAGAGCTTATGAGGTTCTGGCAGATACTTAAGAAGAGGTTCTGAAGCCCTCTACACTCACCAGACTAAGCCTCAGCATTGAGGACCACAAAAACCCCAGATAATTTGGGCAAACCAAGAGCAGAGTGAGATTATACTTTTTTTGTCTTCAGTAGGGCTCTAAGATGACAAAATCGGAGAAGAAATGCCTATGAAATATATGTCTAGACAGGGCCTTAGACAGTTTGTTTCCCTTGTCCTAACACTCTGTGCAGCTGAGCATGATGTAATAAAGCACAGAGAACCAGCCGACATGAATGGGCCCTGAGGGCATAAATGAGAAACTTATGTGGGCCAGTTACTGAATACTAAATGAAACAATGAAAATCTCAATGCATCGGGGCATCTGGGTGGCTCAATAGTTGAGCATCTGCCTTCAGCTCAGGTTGTGATCCCAGGATCCTGGGATCAATTTCCACATCAGGCTTCTGGCAGGGAGCCTGCTTCTCTCTCTGCCTATGTCTGCCTCTATCTCTCTGTATCTCATGAATAAATAAATAAAATCTTTTTTAAAAATCTCAATGGATAGATAACTGAAAAATAAATGTCCTTCTCTACCACTCTACCACTTCTCTAGCATGTACTATATGGGAATCCCCAAATTTAGATACAACCCCAGAAGAAGGGTGAAAAATCCCAAATTTACAAAGATTAAAGTTTATTCTATGTCAGCAACATCAGGATTTAAGATATTAAAAATTAATATTTTTTATATTTCAAGATACGAAAGTGTTTTGCATGCTTCCGTTTTTTGACTAAAATTGCTCAGAGTCATATGTTCTGCAAAACTTATCAGAGTACCAGAAAACAAGGCAGAAGGGGTAGAGTTACACAAGATAAAAGCTTTAGAAACTGTTCAGTGACATGCCATACAACTATGAATATGAAGAGAGGATTCAACCACTAAACCAGGGGAGGCAAATCAGAACTAAGGTCAATTTATCACCTAGTTTGCTTATTTAGTCTGGATAGCTCTTGACTTTTTCAATGATATATATGGTGTGAAAAACTATATAAGCCCTATGAAAAAATATTGTCAAAGAAAGAAAAGGGGACACCATGAGAGATGTTAAAAGGAATAACATAATTCTGAAAATGAATTCTATCTAGAGAATCCAGATGAAAATTTCAGAAAACTATCCAGTATTCTCAACAGAACCCGGAAAATATAATCAATGAAAGAGGAAGATAGAATGATAAAGAAAGAATACGCTACAACAGAAATGCAAGAAATGGAACAAATTAAATAGAAAAACAAATGAGGAGGAAAGGGACAATGGATTAGCTATAGCTAATTAGATTACAAGGGAATTATAAATTAGAGGAAGGACAGGATAGAACTGACACTTGAAAAGTCAAATTGGAAACATAGGAAACAAAAAAACGAAAGGGGGAAAAATAAACATTAAAACAATTAGAGAAAAGAACCGAGGGCCAATACAAATAATAAGTATTGCCCAAAAATCAGATGGTAGCCAAAGATATAGTTTCCTGGGCTAAAGAAAGATTGGTATACCTAGATTGAAATAATCATATGGACAAAATTTTGAATTATAAGGATCAAGAATACATACACACACACACACAAACACAGATCTAGGTATACATATAGGGAACTGTGATTCCCTCATTTCATGGATGAGGAAAGTGTGATATAGAAAATTATTTATTCACCAGGATCCCAAAGTTAGTAATTAGTGGTACATGACTAAAACACAGATGCTCCTGATTAAATCCAGTATAGATAAGTGCAAAGAATGCTATTTGGATCTAAAAATCTAAATGCACATGCAAAGAATGAAATAAAAAAGAAAATTTAAAGGTTTTAATTAGTGAAGTCACTAAACCTATAAAGCATTGTAGCTCTCAAGCTGACCTTAGAGTTCATTAAGACATCTGCAATTAGACAGTGAATAGTCCCTTACACAGATTAAGTTACACAGTACATTACCTCATATGGACCTGAACTCTATAACAAAGATGTTCAACAGATCAACCAAAATAACAAAAATACTGAAGAATCTTGAACTAAGGTAAAGAAGGCAAAATTCAAAAGGACAAGAAGCCAGTTTTAAAAATCTAAAGAGCACATAAAAAATAACTTATACTTTTTCCATATGCTCTAAGGAGAATTACAATAAGAGAAACTATGTAGAAACTTCAGCTCAATAAAAATAAGAGCTGTCCTTAAATGACAATCTTGAGGTTAGTGAGTTTCCATCACTGAATATATTCAAACATAAAAAAGACTAACACTTGGTTAGACATGCTTTAAAGGAAAGGAAGTCAATGAAAATGTAAGTAGACTACAAAAGCTTTAAAGTCCTTCCCAAAAATCAATTAATTTAGGTTAGGAGGTAAGGCTATAAAAAAGTTTATACAGTACTTTGAATGGCAGGCTAAAGAATTCAAAATAATTCTATATTGTGTGCAATAGAGAACCAATTAAAGAGTTTTTTTAAACAATTACAAAAAGTAGAGGTTTTTTTTTTAAAGCTACATCTAAGAAAAGATTTGTTCTTTAATTCATTAATTTATTGCCTATTTTCTTCAAAGACACTGTCTAAAATGTTGACTATCCTCAATCAACGTATGACCCCTTACCCTTAAGATTGTA